CCAGAATACTGCCCTTGTCACAATTGGTCCCATTGTTAGGCGTCCTAGTGGCAGTGATTGGGCAGGTTCGGATACATCTACACTCTTTCACTGCAACACTGATGACGCCGAGGAAGACATGCGAGCTTTGAGAAGTGCAGCAACTCGCGAATCCTTCTCCTCCAAACATCATAGGAACTCTTCTTTGTGAAATCTTGCTTCATTTTCGAACCCGGGAGCTCACCATCTCAAACACAAATCAGAAATGACGACAGACCACACTTCAGAGCTAGTCAATGCTCTGAAAGACATCAAGGACACCCTGGCTGCCCAGATGGAACACCTGAAGACAAACTCGTTGCTTCTCCAAGCGTTTCTGGAACTGAATCAAAAGGAAGCTGAAAAGACGCCGGCTGCTGTTCAGTCAAAGGACAAGAACACTCCAAATCTCCCGGATGTTGAATCCACGGTCAATCAAAGGTCAGCTGCTGTGCAACCGATGAGAAAAAACGCACCAAAGCCTCCAGATGTTAAAGCCAAGGCCGATCGGGACAGTAAGCAGCTTGGGTTCCTGTTCCTACGTATCGATTAAGCTGTGGTCTAACTTGGATGTTGGGCAGGCGATAAACTGGCACAGCTTGGAGAAACAACGAGTCCCGTCTACGCCAAATCCAAATCTGATCTCATACCCAAACGGGAGTTTCTTCCAGAATGGAAGCCGCGAGACAGTTACGTACTGCGTATTCAAAAAGAACAAAAGGGGTATCACATTGATGATCACTTGTTCATAATGCCGCGGCCTCTAGACTCTGCTGTACCCGCTGGGTGAGCGCAATTCGGGATCTAGCCGGCCATATCCGTCTCATGACCCCTATGCTTTTAGCATGACAAGACGAGTAAAGAAGGTCTATGGATACGGTCGAAACGAAGACAAGGAAGCACCAACCACGGGGCTTGGGGATTATGCTGACACTCTAGTAGACGTCCTGAACAACTTGTATTCTATACCTGCAGGCACACGGCTTCCCCTCGGCTTTGAGCCGCTGACCCTCCGACGGGTGAGAAGCAAGGGCAAATTGGATGAATACCTCATCAAGGCAGCTCAGTTTCCGGAAAACCTACACCAGGTTGTTGGGACTTTTGTAATATGGGATTATGATGCTTACGGCAACTACTTCTGCTACTACTCGTTAGATATGTTGTGGAGTGATAGAGATGAATTATTCTACAAGTTCCCAGCCACATGTGACTCCGTTCGATGGTACCGATACAATGAAAACCGGCGCGTTGATAAATATTACAAGTTGATTCCCAAAAATATATACATAGAATTCTTTTAGTCATTTACGGGCGAAAAAAGATATTAGAGTATTAGTGATTGGGCTTTATATGGTACAAAATGGCTTTGTCTGGAAGCGCATATCAATAACGGCGGAGAGTCTCAACCGATTAAGTACCTAGCCCCCGGGCCCCAATGAAGAGCACAAGGATGAAGAGCAGGAGATTAGACAGATGATTGACGAGACCAGGAGAAGTCCGCGACTAACTTGGCCCCTTACTACAGGCCCTGGTATCGCATAATAGACGTTAATGGACTGGAGCTCATTGACGCGACTGACGTGGCTCGCATGTTCGTCTATTTTCTCTTATCGGATACTGAGACAAGGGCAGAGTTCTGAGCTTGGAACAGTAGTTCAATTCAGCTGATAAACTACTTTGGTCTCGAAGGCCTTGTTGATCCTTTCAACCTTCAACCAAAGGCTGGGTTTCAAGGCCTTCTTATGCCAAAGAGGTGTGGTACGTACTGAGGTGCGTACCGAGCCTTGTCGCCTAATGCCTCGAGGTATCTATCTAGCGGTCTTCATGTGGATCTTCCTGAGTGCTTTTCACCCATTATCCTTCTTTCCTCTAGCATCGGCCTCTGTCCGGTCGTCATTATGGCCCAGCAGTCACTGGAGCTGCACGTACGCATGCACGGGCTGACCTGTCTTTCATGCACATTGTATAACAATGTATATTTTACCATGCCCCTAACGGTGCCCTATCGCCCCGTGATGCAAGGGGAACCTCAGGATGATGCTCAGCGCCATCGGCAGTTAAGGCTAATGCAAAGTGTTGAGGTTCTGTTAAGCCTCGGAACATCTAACCCAGAACTGTGGGCAAATGTCTGTGTGACACCTGATGCTTACTGCTGGAAGTGAGAGAGTATCTAGGTACTTCGAAGTAATATGCCTCGTTCTGAAGCGTATCACGTTGGTGGCTGTCAATGGAGGTTGCTTTGCGGAAGGCAGGCCGTCACGCTGACCGGTTTCTGAAGTCGCTTGATCATCGTACTTCACGACAATCGTTTTACTTCTGAATGGAGTCACTCCTTGCCAAATTCGCGTCTCTGAGTGGGATCTATTCCACGCTCTTTACCTAGAGGTACCATAGCAGGGAAGTCCAGTCCATTATCATCTTCCTCCTACAACAAAAAC